TTTAAAATTTTGGTAAAATGGCTGTACATTAGGGTGGGCCAATTTGTATGCGAGATTTTTTCGACTATGGGCGTATACTACAAAAGGATTTTTCGTGTAATTCTAAGCAAATTTGCGGGAGACCATAGGTCTAAAATCAATTTGGAGTTTCCAAAATTGCGAAAATAGGTTACTTAGCATTTTGCTGTAGGTTAGGTGCTTAAATTTTGTATAAAAACATCCCACAAAGTGTTTTTTCGGTATTTTTCTTAAAACTTCCACTAGAGGGCGCAACAGTGAAATTTTTTACATTTTCTTTTAAGGCTTTGGTCGCAATTTGGCGAACTCCAAATTGACTTTAGAGTACCCTGCTGTACATACTTTAAAAGTATCCACAGTGTCCAATCGGAACAAAAGAAAAAGTTGTAGCTATTTTCTTAAAGTGCTTATCTAAATTTCGGCTTATCTCTCCGGCTTATGAGAGGAACATTTAGATACATATGATTACCAGCAAATTTCTTAAAGGGGATATGTTTTGTGTAAAAATTAGTTACATATTCAAATTCTTTATTGCCATTTTCTGAATTATTTGCACATCATTTTATATGTGTTTTTTCGCGACTAGCTTTTAACAAATACCGGCCGCAGTTCAGTGAATTCAGACGATCTTGTCGGTTGTATTACATTTCATGTTATGAATAACAAACTACAATATAGTATATATGTACTTACATACATATGTAAAAGTATGTATATGTGGATATGTACAAATGTATGTGCATAAAGATTGGCATAATACATACAAAATTATATACAATAACTAAAACTTAATAGATAACGACGGTTAAAGGGTTCCCTTGCGAGCACAGCGGCATGAGTCAACAATATTGGAATCTATTTTCATTACAGGTTATATGTATGTGCAAGTATGTATGTTAGTGCATAAGTGTGTGCATATAAATATTGCGAATTAGGCATTAGTACAAACAAAATGCAATAAATTAACAATTTCTTGCTGCATATTCCACACGGTTATATGCAGCAGTTTACAAACATGTATTGCAGAACACCCGTCTACCGAACTGCATACACACGTATGTTTATATGCCTGTTCATGTATGTACGTATGTAAATATGTCGAAAACTGCAGAATTGTATATTTGAAAGTCCCAAAAACATTTAATACTATATTTGAAAGGCAACCTAATGTTATGCGCAAGTAACTACATTATTAGTAAAAAACAAAAACCCATTTATTTCTTTGGCATCAAAATCACATATAATTAAATTACCTATTCGTTGTCCAATTGGGGTTGAAAATGGGTTGTTGAAAAAAGATGCCATTTCTATAGTTCAATTAGTACAAAGCACTGCAATATAATTTTGATACTATTTGGTGTTCACTTTCTTTTCAACAGGGATTTTAAGTAGTAGAGAAATACAAATCACTTGATTTTTCTTTATCCCTTCACCAGTTGTCCATTTAATCTTTTCCGAAATGACGTTCGTCAAATGACAAATACGGCCTTTGTTTTTGTTTGCATTGGTTGTTTGTGTTGCCAGAAAGTTTTATAAGTGCAAGTGCTGCCAATTTTACTGTTGGTCGTTGCAGAGGGTTAACAATCAATAAGGGGAGTAAAAATAAGAATGTAAATAGATTTAAAATTACAAAAAGCAGCATCTTAGACAGTAAATCCTGTAAGCGAAACCCCAGTTGGATGTCAATTTTTAATTATGTTGAGAAAGGCTTTCTGCACATTGGTCGTCCAATCATAGTTGCTCCACCGTCACAATAGTTGTGTTTCCTTGGAATAGCCAGCTCAGTGTCGATGGCACTATCGATAGTATCGATGATTTTTGACTATCGAAAACATCGATGGTTTTGTGAGCACTATCGATAGTTTTCACTCATACATACATTGTTCAGTAATAGGGAATTTACATGAGGCGATTTTTCAGGCGATTTTTAGTTGAAAGCAACAATCGCCTGGTGTAAACGGCCTTTCAACTAATCGCTTACAATGAAGTTGGTCGGCTGCCTACTTTCGTTCAACTAATCGCCTGTGAAAGTTTAATCATATAAATTCCCTATAAGAGTAAAAGCCGGCGGTACCTGCTTTATCTTATGAGACAGAAGGAACATTTAGAAAAGCAGGGCAAATAATTTCAGAGCGAACACGCTGCTTGAAGCAATAATCGTTGGTAAACTTTTGTCCCTTAACAAAAATATAGACATATTTTAGCACTGCTGATCTAATTTTCAATAAAAGTTGATATGTTTAATTTTTGGAATTTTTTTAACATCGATAGTGTCGAAATTTTTAATAGTATCGATACTATCGATGGTTGTGACTATCGACTATCGAAACTATCGATGACCACGACCATCGGTGGTTTATTTCAGTCTTTTAAACATATTTTGAATATGGAACTTATAACTTTTTTACTATCTGCAAAACTGACGAAGGTGCAACCATCTATAGTAGGAAGAAATCAGCTGACACAGAAAAATCTATATTCCGAAGATTTCTGCGCTACGGGCTACAACTACAGAAAAATCCTGCGGTGTTGACTTTTCATTTACATGGTGCTCTGGTAAGACAGATCGTGTCAGCTGTCTGGGGTTTACGTACCGGTAGGTTTACGTACTTGACTAATTTCAGCTTTAAGAACCGAAAACGGATACCATGTTATCGATTATTTGTCAATTACCAGCGACATCTAGTGTGTAGTTAACATTATCCACTGCTTGGCAGCACTTCTGAGCTGTCAAGTGTAGTGTGAGGATTAGGCCAAGCGAGAAATTTTCTTCAATTAAAAATTTTGGATTATTTCCTTTGTAATAAGCATTAAACGAATATATTTAAAACATGGCATGCAACGCAAACAAAGTACCATTCCTTCGTACAATTGCAGTAAGTTTTTAGTTGGAAAAAATCGAACAACTCTTGGGTAACCCAAAATTCTATAACCGTGGTTACGTAAAACTGCGAATTGCATATCTGTCACTACATATGATAATACATGAATAATCATCTTTTAACTATTTACAGAAGCGCGGTTTGGCCACAAACCAATGTCCTCGACCATTGGGCCAGGCAGCTGAAGTGAAAACTACTGTGTTAAATAACAAATTAGTGGTTGCCACTGCCGAAGCCTCTCTGCCTATTACGCGTGTGTCCATTGTCTTCCGGTAAGTGAACTTAGCAGATTCAAATATTTTCATATATATGACATTATCTGCATCTTTCTTTCAGTGCTGGATCGCGTAATGAGAGCTATGAAAATCAAGGATCAGCGCATTTGCTACGTATTGCTTCTGGCTTATCTACAAAAAATACTACCGCTTTTGCTATAAATCGTAACATCCAACAAGTAGGTGGTAGCTTAAGTGCAACATCCGATCGGGAACTAGTTACATACACTGTGGAAACTACTTCCAATCAAATCGAGACAGGATTGCGCTTCTTGCAGGATCTTGTTCAGCCAGCTTTTAAGCCTTGGGAACTGTCTGACATCGTGTCACAAGTTAAAAGCCAAATTGCATCTGTAACCCCCCAGGTAGTTAATGAATTTTACTCGCAGAGCAAAATGAATTTCAACTTCATAAATATTTGAAAGGAACGCGCTGTAGAATTGTTGCACAAAGCTGCTTTTCGTTCGGGTTTGGGCAATTCGATCCATATACCAAAATTCCAAATTGGAAAATTGTCGAGCGAATCACTGTTGCACTATGTGAATAATAACTTTATACCCAGCCGTTGCGCCGTTGTTGGTGTTGGCATTGACCACAACACTCTGTCCGGTTTTGCACAAAATCTTGAATTGTCCTCGGGATCTGGAAAATCGGACTCTGCCAGCTATTATGGCGGTGACGCTCGCAAGGATACAGCCGGCGTTATTTCCCATGTCGCAGTTGCTGGTCAAGGTGCCTCATTGTTGAACCAAAAAGAGGCTTTAGCATTTGCTGTTTTAAAGCACGCTGTAGGTGCTGGAGCTGCTACCAAACGAGGCAACGTAAATGGTCCCTTCGGCAAAGCTATACAAGGAGCCGTAACCGATGCTTCTATTTCGTATGCACCACTTAATGCATCCTATGCTGATGCTGGTTTGTTCGGCTTTCTAGTTTCTACTGATGTTCAACACATTGGCAAGGTAAATTTTTATATCGAAATTCGTTAGAATGCTCTACATGTAAATTGTTTTTATCAGGCGGTGGATGCTTTGACACGCGCTTTGAAGTCGGGCTCAGTATCGTCTAATGATGTAAACCGTGGAAAGGCTCTTCTAAAGGCTGCGTTGTTGGAGAGCTATGCTACAGACAGCTCTTTGATCAATGAAATCAGTGTTCAAGCTGTTCATACTAAACAGGTGCACAACATTGAAGCGTTGTTGTCGGCTGTAGATGGTGTGACTCAACAGGATGTCCAGCAGGTAAAATCATATAAAACTGTGTTTTATATGGAATGATAATAAATTTTCCTTTGCCTAGGCTGCCAAGAAAGCGGGTTCGTCGAAATTGTCCGTAGGAGCTGTAGGCAATCTAGCCAACGTACCATATGCGTCAGATCTGTCTTAAATGCATAATTACGTGAAATAATGATATGTTAAAACTAAAAACCGAAAGATTTAGATGGTAAATAAAAATCCCTTTGATCTTATTGAAGATGAGCCCTGTTTAACAGACTTCACAAAAGGAGAAAGGTTATCAGTTCGTCGGAATATTTTTTTTTGTATATGTATGTTACCGCATAACTTTGGACCACGTCAACCGATTTCGATAATTCTATTTTTTTTAAGGAAAAGTATTACCTCTCAGGTGGTCCCATATTAAAAAAAAGTTAACGATTATCTTAAATTTTTATACGAGAATTAAAGTCTGTTGTGTTTTTTTTTTATTTATTTTACTTATTTTTTGCTTAAATTTAATTGTTAAATACATATGTTTGGTTAAATATTTTATTTTTTATACTGATAGTTTTTTTATGTCTCCGATTATCGCAAAAGCTATTATACATGTATTTAGTTGACACCGCTTCGCAGTCGATGTGACATCTTTATTTCACATAATATATAACGCATTTACACATGGCGCAGTAAAAATAATCCTAAATTTTTTGTTTCATCAAAGCTATTTACAAAATTTAATTAACACACTTTCTGCTGGCGCATGGCCCATACGTTATTAGGTTATACAAACAATATGAGCACTAGTAACAACTTATCATTTGATTACACATTTTTCGATTGGACAGATTGGGTCACATTAAAGTAGTGCTACTACAATAATGGCAATGAACAGAATAATTATTATTAGCCAGTAACCTGAAATAAATCGAGGTGTTCAGATACATACATATTTGGGATAATAATACATTTTAAGTTAAAGTTACCCCATGTACTGTCTTTTCGATTTACTTCGCTGATATTGCCTGTCGCAATATGTACATGCGCATCAACTCTTTCCATAGTATCCGCCAAATTATCAAGTATATCTGAAAATTTTAGAATTTAAAAACATTAGTAACATTTTATTAGGTGCTGAAACTAGTACCATTTTGGCTCTCTACTTCTTGCCCTAATTGGGAAGCAAGACTTCTTTGTCGTGATATTGTCTGAGATAGAATTTCTAAGCCACGATTTTGACGTTCTAATATATCGATTTGACGTTGTTTCAAAATATTGACATCGCTTAAATTTTCCGATTGGAATGCATTTTCGGTTGTACTCAATGCTTTATTTGGAAAATCAGGTGGCGATTGTGCTAACAGTTCTGCACGCTCCCAACGCGGGTCTTGAGATAATTTACGATGCACCTGAGCCAGCTGCGTTTGAAGTACGTTCACTTGTTGCTTTCTGCGAACAATCTCCTCAGAATCTCTACGTAAGGATTAGTATTGATATCAAACGTAAGGTAGTTTTTTGCATAAGAAGTAAAAATGATACCATTAATTTTAAATGGTGCATGAAATTTAAGAACACAAACCGTACATTGACTGCGCATCTTCTAATAGCTCAAGCTTCTGTTTAAGTTCCTTAACTTCCCCCTCGAATTGCTTGAGCTCTCCCTGTATTGCAGATGTGAGACGACTGTATTCACTGGAATTCTTTTGGCGTTTTTCTCGCTGCATTATTTTTGAAAGTATTGTTTCATTGAGAGCAAAGCATGCTTCGCATTCCCTCGCCCTATTTGATAAAATACTATTAACTTGTTTATATTTCCGACCATGAGCAAACTTACCAAGAGTCTACCTCTAGCAGCGACATATTTATTCATTTGTGTAAAACGCAGATGAGTCACCAGGTGAAGACTAATGAAAGTAAATCGAAAATAAATGTTTAACAATGATTAAACTTAACTTTATCAAAGCTATTTGATTATAAGAACAAATTCTAATTATTTATCACTTTCTTTGTCAAACTTATGACAATGAAGTGTCAAATTATATCCGATAACACTGATTACGTTAGTAATCGTCTGTTACAATGTTATCGGTGTATGTGGTGTTGACATTTTTGAAAAGTTGTAGTAAAGGTCTGAATACAATAAAAACGACATCACCACACGACATGACATTACAGGTCCGTTTACATACCACCTTGGGGTTGCGTTGGGGTTAGCATAGCTTCGACACCTGATTACATACAGTTATATGAAAGTATGCACATAACCAAAGCTGGACAACGCCAACCCAAAATCAAAACATAAATATGGCCATATGTGAAATAAATAACGTTTGGAATGCAATTATTGATATACAATTTTGATTTATACGCCGCTAGTATATTAATTTAGTGACCAAAGTATTCGCTGCAAAGCGTTCATAGTAGCAAGCACTGGCGTTACTCGCACTGTTGTCAAAGCGGCGTCAACGCTTACGCAACGCCAAAGTTGTATGTGGACGGGCCTAAAGATTTCATCTCCATAATCTAAGATTACAACCGGCCTTGTCGGAAGCTTTTGCTGAAAATCGTCATTTTACCCTGAAAAAATCGTCATTTCGGCCAAAAAAACGTCAATTTTTTTTATTATACTTTTTTAACAAAATAAAAAATTGAATTCAAATTACATAAATTACATACAATGAACATAACACATTTCAAGACCAAAGGGAACCCATTTGCAATTTATAACAATGTTAAATTACATTTTAAAACACAACTGCTTTTAAATTACTCCACTGGATTGAGGTTTTGATGCAGATTTAGTGTAACATTAGCATTTATTAGCTGATAGATAATCTTGAATGCACAAATTTTCTCTGCTATTTTTCTGTCTCTTTCAAATCAGTGTCAACAGTGCAAATTAACGATTTGGTTACAATTCTAGAACAAATTTAATATAACTAAAAGCGCGGTTGCAGAACAAAACTAGATAAATGCATGGTTGTATTTTGAACTACGTTTTCCTTTAAAAAAACTTTTTACATACATATGCAATTAGCTGGAAAATCTAAAAAAAAATCGTCAATACGGAGGGAATAATCGTCAAAACGTTATTGAGCTAAAAAAACGTCAAAATGACGACGAAATCGTCAATTCGGCAACGCTGATTACAACTCCACAACAAGGCGTTCAGCGCTTTTCAGGCGTTCAACAATAGCTGAATTGTATAGCTGAAAGCCTGAAAATCGCCAAACGCCTGAAAAGCTTATCGTGGAATTGTAATCTAAACGCTTTGTCGACGGCGACACGGCGACATGCATTTTTCGAACGTAGCAGCGACATCATGAATTTGTTTGAGTTTGACATAAAAAAGGAATAATCTTATCTTATCTTTGAATCTAAAAATATAAGATTGCGCATTCCCGACGGCGCCGACATTATGGGTTAAAAGTAACGAAGACAAAGAGGAGGATACAAGAAAATGGCGTGTTTTAATTGCGTTCAATGGTGAAAATATATGATTTGTAATAAAAATAAATAACGAAAATGTGAAAAACGTTGATTTTAGTGAAAGTATTTGTGTATTACAGTGAATTTAAAGGTTTAGAGACTTCATTTGCTTTTACACGAGAAATTTAAAAAATCGGCAAACCTAAGTAGCGGTTTGCGGAATGCGCCACCTTCCGTTTGCTACATCAAAGAACGTAAATCTATAAGAGGAGACAACACGTTATAATTGTAGCGAGTGTGGACATCAGGAGCGTGCCTTCTCTTTTCATCCAATAACAAAACGTATTTGGGCAAAAAAGAAAGCACGCTCCTGATGTTTCCACTCGTTACAATTATAACGTGTTGTCTCTTCTTATAGATTCACGTTCTTTGGCTACATAGTGCCGGAAAATGGCTAACTGGCAACACTGCTGATCAGATGTGTTCAGGATTGCCAACTTCCCTTTAAGCGTGCCAATTTTGGCCCTTTTTCACCCCACGTCTCCATTTTCTACTAAATGTGTCTTAACAGCTGTCAAATTTATGTTTTAACTTTGTCCCGTTTTCTCATGTGGACAACTCGCTGTCTTAACGTATCACTTTCAAAATGACATCAAGCTAATCAGATCGATCTGTACCTAATGTAGGTGGCGCGTCCAAATGAAAACTGAGTTGTCAAACTACGAAATGACAGCTCATGTTAATATAGCGATGTTAAGAAATTCGGCAAGACAGATATGGTTTAACAGTGAAAATTTGCGGTCTCCACCTGATATTTCTGCATTAACATAATCTATAGAAGGTGGAGACGTGGGGTTACATCAAGTGGCACTAAATTATGCAATTTGACACAAAGTGCCAAAATGGAACTTTTGTAATATTTCAACACATTATTGTGAAATCTTCTGCTCAACTAAAATCTTCTAATTTCTGTAGTGTATACAACTAGTTAACCTTACTTTGGCATTGAACTTACAATTTAGGAATATGTTTCTAATTTTGATGCTAATTTGGGAAGAATTGCAAAGAATGGAACCTCTTTTGACATTTTTTTTCTATTTGGCACATTTCGGGACTTTTTTATCCTCAAAATGGCACTTCATAGCTAAGTAGGGCTGGCAGCCCTGGATGTGTTAAGTTATGGGAATTTTCTTGGCACCACTAATAAGATTTCATGGGATATTTTTCATTCTACTTTTGATTTCGTGCAGCTCGAATTCTTAGTCGGGGAAATTCTAGGAAAGTGGTTTCTTTTGTGATTACGACAAACATTTTGCATTTCATTTTATAAAAATGGAGTTCTAAAGTATATTCCTAAACGAAATTTATGTAATACAGTGCATGCGGTAATCGAATCGATAGAATTGATGTTTTTGAATTAATGAAGGAGACGTAAATGCATTTGGAGCGTAATAGAAACGAGTAACCAGTAAAAAAAGGTGCGAAGTTGTTAATTAATGCTATTCAGCATATATAGAAATACTTAAGTTGATAGTAATTTTGGAAGTTGGTGATATGTATGTACGTAATCAGCCTGATGTTTTGCGACGGAATTTTCTTAGGGCCCCAAGAAATTGTGATTTTGTAACTGCTGCGCCATGTTTTCTGCGGCTCAGATAAGAATGGGAAGAAGGCACCGAACAGCTGAGAGTTTGTTTACCTAAAATCCAATTGGAAACTTGTGAATTGAATGCAAAGTATTCTACCATATTTAAAAATCGATAAAGCGATAAAAGAGTTGTGTACACAATTGGTTGTTGGTAAACACGCACCGCCCCCTTTGGAAAAACTCCTGCAGTTGAAGAAGTACAGAAACGCAAATTTATTTGAATTTTTTTAAACTTGCTAGATATGAATAATAATTATATCTAATAGTTTGCTGGATAATCACTTAAAACTTTTTAATTCAAAATGTAAAAAAGTATAGCTGTATGTAAACTAGGGATGTTGCGAGTGTGGAATTTTAGACATCCGCGGATGCGAATGCGGATGTTAAGTATTTTTAAACAACAATTAGAATCTAGCATAATGGCGAGATCGTTGTTTAAACAGCGCTTACAAGCCAAACTAGATGTGTCAGCTTTTTCTAAAGCTTTTTAAAAAGAATTCTTCATTCTCATTCCTTTGACGGTTTCAGAACCTGCAACTTCAGCGTTTTTCGATTTTAGTTTTTGTAACTAATTTTTAATACTTTCTTCTGCGACTGGTTTGAATAATTTGTGCTTATAGCGAGCTTAATAGGTGGATATGGAAATAAATTAAATATTATTTTCCAGGAATATAAATTTTGAACAAAATTGTGTTTTCACAGTCGAGGCTGTCAGCGTTATTTGTTATTTAAAAAAACACCACGTTTTTTTATAAGCATTTGAATCTCAGATAGTTAAATAGCAAAGAAAGGGCAGTTTTACCACAGAAATTTTTAGCCAAGAATCCAATGTATATTCCTACCAAAAAAATATTGCACGACAAGTAAACAAAATTACTGTTCTTTAAATTTCTACTAAAAATAAATTGGGAAATCTTTAGCTATTTGTACAAAGATTTAGGGGTGGGGGCGGAGGGGGAGGGGGCGTGGCTCCCCAAAGCCCCCCCTAAACGAAAGAGGATGGACGCCGCTATATGGGATTATAACCCTCACTAAGTAGAATTCTCCTTTCTGTGTTGCCGAAGAAAAGGGGATGAACAAGTTTTGCAGAAAACAACTTTCTGCGTAGGCGGCCTTCGGCCGCACTTAGGGATTATAACCCTCACTAAGTAGAATTTTCCTTTCTGTTTTGCTGAAGAAGAGGGGCTGAACACCTTTTGCACAGATATTTCGTGGATATTTTTTGTTTGACAGCTCAGCTCGGAAACTTACAAAAAATACCTTATTTCCAACCGACATTATTAATAAATTAGCGTACAGATATAGTAAATTGTATTATTATTTTATTGTAATAAAGCGTGAACTGTTGTCTGCAAGTGTGTGTAAAAGGTTTTTGATTCAATTCACGCGTTTGGGCACAGCGGCCCAAAATCGGTGTACAAATTCATAAAGAATACCCAATAAATCCATTTGAAATTATTGAAACGAATATATGTAACATCAAAAGCAAATGCCGAAAATTTGGTTAAGAATTACAGTGCACACTTTCTTCTTTTGTGTCTAGTAGTTTTTTTAAGATTGGTTTAAAAAGATCATAATAAAGAAAGAAACTAAAGCAGGTATTTAAAGAAGAGAAAACAAAAAAATATTGTTAAAAAGACTATGTTCTCTTTGACGTACGTCAAAGGTCAAGCAGAAGTTGGAACTTGTATGACTGCCCATTGATAGCTCGGTTATATAGCTTAAGAAATAATATTTTTAAAGATATTTTTATCAAAGTTGATAAATATGACATTTGACCAGTTTTGTTACACAAATACTCCCACGACCACAGGCAAAAATATTGGCTATGTAAAATTTGTAATTTTGTTTGCTATATATACGTTTTATCGGTGCGTAGCTCGACAACAAATAAATGTTGTTGTTGTTGTAGTCCCTGAATTGGTTGGTTATTTATTCATCTATTACTTTTCTATAAAAAAAA